AATGCAGAGATCTGCCACTATCCTCAGGATGATATTGACCAATATGTCGCCTCCTCTATGTTTTCACATAATCATTCATATTTTAAAATCACTGGCTTCACTGTTGCTTGGGTTAGAAATTTCTATTTTTGTACAACCTATTTCTTTTTTTGTTTTCTTTTTGTGGGTTTGACTTCCATCCTAATTTTTTGTGTCTCGCGTTTCTTTTTTATCCCTTGTATATCCTCTAATTGGTTTCCATGCTTGTCCTTGCCTTGATAAGTCATCACATTAAAATCAGATGGCACTTCTCTCAAATTTGTAGATAATCCAGCTGGGGTATCCGATAAATCCAAAGGCAATTTATCTGGTACAGTCTCTGTCTTTAATTCCAGCTCCTTCTGCTTATCCTGTATTATATCTGAAGACGTTAAATTCATTTTCAACCTATTTTGATAAAATTCTTCCGCTCTTTCAACAGTATTTAACTGGTATCTTTCTCCTTGATATCTCAATATAATACCAACTGGGACGTCCCACCGGAATTGAATATTTCTCCTTTTTAACTCAGACACCAGAAAGCCAAATTTCTTCCTTTCCATTAATATCTTAGGTGGGAGTTCCTTGTAAATCCAAATCTTTCTTCCATACAATTGCAAATTAGAATTGAAGGAATTTTGCACAATTTTATTCCTAATTTCTTTATCTGAAAAATAGATTACCACATCTCTAGGCAATTGCCTTTGCTTGGCAGTCCAGGAGTTTATTCGATAAGCTCTGTCAATCCTACAAAACACTTCCTCAGGTTGAATCTTTAAAATCCCAGCTAGAAATTCAGAAGATATTTTCCTTAAGTCATCTCTGTTATTTTCCTGCAAACCTCTAAGTCTTATTGCATATTCTGTGAAATTATATTGTATCTTTAGAACCTCTTTATCAATCCTCTGTTGCAGATTTTCTACATTACCAGACTTTTGGTCAGCATCCATTTTAAATTTTTCTTCTGAACTATAATCCTGAATATTTAACAAATCATTTTCAATTTTTTGAATTCTATTGTCCAATTTATCTTGAATTTCATCCATTTTTGACTCTAGTAAATTAGTATTTGTATCCAACCGAATCATGAATTCTGACACTTTTAAAATTTTTTGCTGCAAAAAGTCAAACTTGGATTTCACCAATTCCTTAGTTTCCTGCTTAAATTTTTCAAGTTGCTGATTCACAATCTCATCCCTTCTTTCAATCTCCTCTAAGAGAAATTCTATTATATTAAAATCAGGTTTCTGGGACTGAAGAGTTAAAACTTGTTCCTTTAAATTCTTAGTGGGGGAATCCCCCCCACCTATTTGCTTGTCTGACTTCACAAGCCTCAGTGCCATGTTTCCGCCTAAGCAGGCTTTGTTAGAAGAAAAAAAAAAAAAAAAACAAGACAAAAGACTTCCAGCCAGCAACAAGGGAAAAAGAGAAAAACAAAAACAGGAGCGGAGTTTTATCTACAAATGTAGCCAGTGGTATTTATTCCGCTACATTGTAATAATAAAAAACGGAAGAACTTTCCCTCTCAAACTCTTCTCCAGCCGCGGCAGACGCCATTTTAAAAAGAAACTTTTTTCCTCTTTCTCTTCCTCTATTCTCTTAAGTAATTTTTAAAAGATAAGTAAAATACTTGCGCTTCAGTATTACAGGTCCAGCTCACATTTTCTTTGAGTAATCTGTCAAATTCGCAGGCTTGCTTTTGACGCCTGGCTCTGCATTAGCAGAGGTCTCCCAAAGCCCGGAGCAGCGGCTGGGGATATGGGGCATCTCATCCGCTCCATCCCAAAAGTAAAAGAAAAACTTTTGGGACTCTGCAGAGAGTTCTACCCACCCCTGCCGGCTCTATCTCCGTTTCCTCATGGGAACGGAGTTTTTTCGAGCCGCCGTTCCGTTGTGAAGGCGGCTCTGACAGGCAGTGGAAGCTGACGATCCCAAAGGAACGTCTGGCGGCGGCCAGCAGCAAACAGGAAGTCAATGGTCCTTTCAATTGTGATGACATTAAAGTAACAACTCCAGGGAAAGGAATGAATTTTTCTTCTTGATTAATCAAATCAATACCCGCGCTACCTTTCGTAGCTGCTTTAGCATTTTTAACAGGAGTTGTGGCAATTGGGCCGGGGCTTGCCGTGAGCCCGAAATCTAGTTTCCCTGACTTTCCCTGCACTGATTTGCCCAGTGAAACCCTTTCTTACATTTAGGGCAAACAGTTTTTGGTCTGGATGTTTGACCTCCTCCTGGCCCGCCGCCTTTATGGGCTCCGCCACCAGGGGCTCTGCATTGCTGTTTGAAATGGCCAGGTTTATTACAATTAAAACAATTGCCTTTGAGCTTGCCAAACTTTCCTTTTTGTAAGGCAGCTGCTAAAGCTTCCATCTGATGGACATTTGTGCCTATGTCAGCGCATGCTTTTAACATAACAGCCAAGGTGTAATCTCCTCTATTAACAATAGACTGCAATGCGCGGCGGCAATCCACATTGGCATGTTCATAAGCTAGACTTTTCATTAACTCTCTGCTAGCTTCCTCATTATCTACTTGCTGCTGAATAGCTTCTTGCAATCTATCAATGAAATCAGAGTATGTTTCACCAGCCCCCTGTCAAATCGCTGCAAAAGATTTACTAGGATTGCCTGAGATTGGCACTTTCTTAAATGCTTTAATCATGCAGCGCCCTATCACAGAGTAAGCTGGTGGGGGTGTGCCATTGGTTTGTTGCTATATTGTAGAAAAAGCACCCACCCCATATAATTCATCTGGTATATACAAACCTCCTGAATTGTTCCCTGCATGAATAGCTTCCCTCTGGTATTCTGAATCCCAAACAACATACTGTGCTGGTGTGAGAAGCATGCGAAACAAATCCTTCCAATCTTGTGGAATCAAATTATAGCCATTAGATATGCCCTCCACCATCCCAGTAGTATAGGTGGAATGCAAACCTGTCTCTGTGATGCCTTTCCTCAGCTCTCTCAAAACTTGATATGGCAAAGGATTCCACTGATATTGGGCTTGTCCCTGGGGATTAACTGTCTGTATGACAGGAAAAGCTTGGAGACCCTCTGCAATTTCTACCCCAGTGAGAGTCCCTTTTTGTTGCTCTTCCTGAAACCCTGCTCTGACAGCTGAAAACGTCTCCTGTAAAGGAGAAATCGATAAGGGAGCTGTCGGGGAGCTACTTTCTTCTGGCTGCAGCGCAGTTGCAGCTGAAAATAAGGCGGAGGGGGAGCAGACCCCTGATCAGAAAACAGAGAGAGAGTTGGCGACGGTGCCTTGAGTTTAGGACCTTGTGCTGACGTTGTTTACTCAGCGTGGTTTGCCAACCACTGAGATAACACCATCCCCACACTGGACTTAAGGGAAGCTTACTACCGTGTCAGAATTAAGGAGAGGGACGAGTGGAAAACTGCATTTAACACCCCCTTTGCGTGTTACTAATTCAAAGTGCTCCCCTTTGGGTTACAAGGAGCCCCACAGTGTTTATGCAATTAATAAATGAAGTGCTACATGAGCATTTGTATAAAGGGGTCCTGGTCTACTTGGACAACATTTTAATATATACCAAGACCAAAGTAAAACATGTAAAACTAGTCAGGGCTGTCTTAAACAAACTCCGCTCTGCCAAACTTTATGCTAAATTTTCTTAATGTGAATTCCACCAAGAAAAAATTGACTATTTGGGGTACCACGTTTCACACCAGGGCGTAGTAATGGACCCTCAAAAAGTGCAGGCTGTACTTGATTGGGAACCACCCCGCACGCATAAACAGTTACAAAGCTTCCTGGGGTTCACCAACTTTTACCACCAGTTTATCACCGCTTTCGCCCTCCCCATTACCAAGCTCTTAAAAACGAAGGGGGAGGGCAACCCTAAACTGAAGCAGCCTTTGAACTGGACAATGGAATTGTATTCAGACATTGCTTTGAATCCACTGCTGTCACTTCTACTTAATAAAAGGTTTCTTTTGAAATACTCCATTTCAAGAGTTTTCACTTTCTTAAGTTAGAGGGAGAGACAATCCTTACAGTTGTTGAGCTATAATCAGCCCTAACAGATCAGGCCCAAAAAATCAACTCCATAGGATAATTAAAACTACTTTTATTCTGATTGGCTACACTAATGGAATCATGTAAGTCTGATATTGTTGTACCTCCTGCCCTTTCTTATATTTTAATGAATTATGGAGTTGTCTGTCTGAGTTGCTTACAAATAATATTGGTTTGTTGTAGACTTAAAATATTTTTCACCTTCCTGCACCTTAATACTAAAATGCATCTTGCATATCTCCATCAAGATCAACTTTCTTATTTGCTACAGTTACAATTCCCAACAATCCCCCTATGCATCCCTGAACTAGAAATTGAATTCATCAGTAGGAGCATGCAAATGATTTCATGAAGATGGAAATGATAAGCATGCATCAGCAATTCCTATAGCCCACCCCTTCACAATTTAATAAAAGTAAGGAAGATTTGCCTGCCACAGCTTAAACACCTCTCTTCCATGCTTGGCCTCAAGGAAAGCATCTTAGAGCTAGCCTAAAATTAGATGAAAACAAAAATGTGGGGGCCTCAAGCAAGCAAGAGGGTACTGCCATCCTCTAATGGATCCAGCAATCTATTCTATTTGCAAGTATTAAGGCAGCCACAAATTTCACTGTATTTGTATCGATTTTTCAGTCCCAAGAGTGACCTTTTAGGTAATTTTACAGTTCTTAAAAATATTACCTCACATTAACACAAACTTGTCAATTCATACTCTGTGCAAAAGGGTTACATCAGCATTTCTCAGCCTTAGCAATTTTAAGATGAGTGAACTTCAATTCCAGCTGAGGAATTCTGGGAGCTGAAATTCAACCATCTTAAAGTTGACAAAGTTGAAAAACACTGAGAGGGTGTAACACTGTCCTACCAGAGCATGAAGCTGCTGTGTCTCAAGATACCACCAGCTTTCTTACTGAAAGGTATCTGACTTTTTATTTCAGGCTCTCCCCTGGAGAAACTGGTATCCAGTCTTTCAGATTTAGAGACTCGCTTAGGCTCCCGGAAATGTGTTTCTCCTGAAAAGTTCAATGAGATCCTGAAAGTCAGGGAGGATACTCATAATTCAGGTGAGCTCAAGAAAATATAGTCTTAGTTTTGCCTTGTGTAACCAATGTCATCTGTCCACTCTCAAAATATTCATGAAAAAAGTGGCAATCTGTGGAGACTGCGTCCCTCCCCCAATGGTTGGCTTTCAAAATATGGGGCCAATTTTGAAATTGAGGAGAGTGAAGGAGCAAAATGGTATCTTAATAGTCAAAGAAGCTTAAGGAATTCATTCAATCATTATCATTCTTGTAATAGCATCACAAAAATGGTTCTTGACCTCCCTACTTTCAGAAGGTGTGGCTGAAATGTTAAATAAACTATTGACCCTTTGAGGTAGACCAGTCCTGAAAGAGACTGGAACTCAGCAGAATCTTGAAAGCCTGAGGGAGATTCTTTCTGCCCTTCAGAAATCAGGAAAGGAAGGAAGGAAGGAAGGAAGGAAGGAAGGAAGGAAGGAAGGAAGGAAGGAAGGAAGGAAGGAAGGAAGGAAATCAGGGTGGGGGAATCTTGGAGATATTTTTTTTTACATCCTTGTCTATTCAAGTTGATGCTGACATAATAGTTACTGAAATTCTTTTTGGAGGACATCTTTGCTCTACAAGAACCCTATACTGTATGTTAATTTGGGGATTGCTCTGATCTTGTTGATTTACCATGTAATAACATCCTATGCCCATGCTCATGCCATGCCATGAGGTGCAAACATTTCTACTCTTCCTTGTTTCTTAGCCGCTGACCCCTACTATCGTGTTTCCCTGAAAATAAGACTGTCTTATATTTTTTTTTAACCCTGAAATAAGCGCTTGGCCTTATTGCCATGCATCAAAAGCCCAATTGGGCTTATTATTAGGGTATGTCTTATTTTGGGGGAAACAGGGTATTGCTAAGTAGGCCCAGAATAAAGACTACACATCCCTGAGCTGAATACATAGGAATCTCTTCTGGACGTTTGAAGGGAAATCATAATTTTGATAATGTTCTCCTGTCTCTTCAATGCATTGTAAATGCACATAGGAAGACAAGTGAGCATTGCTTTGAGAAAAAGTGTAGGTATCAATGCTAATTCTTCATATTGATTCTTACTGATTCGTATTGACTCATGTTGCTCTATCTTCCCATAGTTGATCACATTCCCCATGGATCCAAGGATGACCTGTTCCCAGGAACCTGGTACTTGGAGCAAGTGGATGAGAAAAACCGCAGGAAATATGCACGAAAACTAGTTTAGGAATATAGTTATCATTAATGAGTTTTTTTTCTGGTAAGTCAGAACCCTAGATATAAGAACTCTTCATAGAAAGGAGATGTGCAGATGGAAGGCTCGGTTACCATTTATTAGGCAAAAAGGAAAAAGGAAAATACTTATGGAAATAAGAATTTTGTTAGTTTGGTAACTGCCTGTCTACCTATCCTGCTGTGCAGAAACATTTAAAATAAAGCACATAATTATTAGACTTTTATAGCTGGAAGAGGAATATGCCAATACTGTTCTTTCAAGCTGTTATATGTGTGTGTTGTTCAGTTGGGCAGCAAAATAGGCTGATAAACAAAGGTTGAATGGTTCGTTATTCATAGATATGTGCAATAAAGAATAATATCAAATCAGAAAATTCCCACATGGCCTGTATTTAAATCCCTTCTATCCTGCCTGATATCAAAACAAAAGGTGAAGAAAAATCTTGCAAATGCAGGTAGTCCTCGATTTATGACCACAGTTGAGCCCAAAATTTCTGTGGCTAAGCAGGACATTTGTTAAGTGAGTTTTGCCCCATTTTACCACCTTTCTTGGCACAGTTAAATGAATCACTGCAGTTGTTAAATTAAGTGAATCTGACTTCATTGACTTTGCTTGTCAAGTTGCAAAAAGTGATCACATGACCTTGGGACACTGCAATTGTCATAAATGCATGCCAATTCCAAGCATTTGAATTTTGATCACGTGACCATGGGGATGCTGCAATGATCATGTGGAAAATGGTAATAAGTTACTATTTTCAGGGTTGTTATAACTTTGAACAATCACTAAATGAATGGTTGTCAGTTGAGGACTAACTGTAGTTGAGTATCTTTGAAAGTGTTTCTACAAATAGCCTGGTTATACACAAAAATTGCCATTATAGGGTAGGAGGAATTAAATATTGAGAAAAATAGATTGCATCAGCTATCCCAAGAATTTAAGAATGACTCCCTAATGCTGGGGTGTCAAACTCGATTTCATTGAGGGCCGCATCAGGGCTGTGTTTGACCTTGGGGGGGGGCATGGCCGGGGGGGCGTGGCCAGCTTGACGTCACTTGTGTCAGGGGCACCTGAAGTTGGAGGAGATCCATTGTCTCCAGCGGAGGGCAAGACCAAGGAGAGGGTCAAACCCTTGTCCTCCAGAGGAGCCTCGCCGTTCCTCATAGGTCACATAGAGGACCCCCGGATAGTGGCACAGGCAGTGGAAGGTAAGCATCTAGCCCAGTCCTCGAGCTCCAGGGCACCGGGACCTCACAGCCCAGCCTAGCCCCACTTCCCCAAGGCTTTGCCTAGCTGCGCTTACCTCCTCAAGGCTGCTGCTGCTGTTCTCGCTCTCCTTGGCCAGGTTGCTCATGGTGTCTGCAGGAGGGCAAAGGTCAGAGGGAGGCCACTCTCTCTCCATGCAAGGTAACCCGGCTTTGTAACAAAAGCATCCTCAGCGATAGAATGGGAGACCGTCAGGAGGAGACAAGGGGATGGCGAAAGGCAGCAGGGTTGCAGGTGGCCAAGTGCTAAGGCAGGACTTCCATCAGACCCGCCCTCCCTCTCATTATAATCTCCATTCCTTCCTTCTCCTTTCTTCTTCCTTCTCCTTTCCTTCTTTTTCCTTCCTTGCTCTCCTCGCCTGGCCCCCCAAGCTCTGTTTTCAACGGTGACGGCCTCCTGAAGCCCTCTGCCAACAAAAACGGAGCTCAGGACTTGCAGAGAGTTACAGGAGGCTGTCACGGCCCCTGAGCTCCATTTTTGCTGGCTGCAGGAGGGCATCATGGCTGAAAACGTTTTCACTGACAGAGGCATCGGAGGCCGGACCTTCACTGTTTCCAGGGTGGCCCCGCAGGCTAGGTCTAAGCACCCCATGGGCTGAATCTGAGCTGCGGGCCTTGAGTTTGACACCCCTGCCCTAAAATATCTGCAGTCGTCTTTGCTTCTCAGACTACCCTCCAGCTCATTCATACTAATAGAAAATATATTGTACACATGTTGATTTAAAGCAGGGTTCTCCAACCTTTTGGACCTCAGGGACCACCAAACTCATAATTTAAATCCCGTGGACCAGCGGTCTGCAGAGAAATCGTTGCATTTCTCTCGAGGAGCCCAGCCAAGGTTTCCCTCACTGCTCGTGCTTCAGTGCTTTGACTCCCAGAGACAGGATGGGGTCCTTCAGGCAGTTAGCTTGGCCGCCTGTTAGCAGAGAGAAGCAGCCAGAGTCAACCCTGGCTTTGCTGTCCATTGCAGATGCTAGATCAGCCCCCTGCAAACTCTCGTCTCTCAAGGAGCACTTGTTGAAGTGGCACGGGAGAGTTTGGCCAGGCTCCTCGAGAGATTTATTTATTTTTATTAAATTTATATGCCGCCCTCTTCCCGTAAGACTTGGGGCGTCATACAGAATTAAAACATATAACAATAGAAACCCTAAAAGCAGCCAATATAAACCCCAAACAAAATAAAATCTCATAGCAGATCACGGAATTCGCTGAAACAGACATGTCTTTAGGTCGGTGCGGAAAGTGCGGAGGTCAGGGGCCGTCCGGAGCCCGATGGGTAACTCATTCCAGAGTCGGTGCGGCCACTGAGAATGCCCTCATCCTGGGGGCCACCAGCCAACATTGTCTGGCCGATGGTACCCGGAGGAGGGCAGCCCTATGTGACCGCACGGGGCGGTGGGAGGCCGGTAGGTGGTGGTCCTGCAAGTATCTCGGACCCATGCCATGAAGGGCTTTATAGGTAAGAACCAGCACCTTGAAGCGGATCCGAAGAACAACCGGCAGCCAGTGCAGCTCGCGCAGGAGGTGTCACACGGGAATAATGAGAAGCTCCTGTAACAACCCACGCGGCCGCATTCTGGACCAGCTGGAGCCTCCGGGTGCACCCCAAGGGCAGCCCCATGTAGAGGGCATTGCAGTAATCCAGGCGAGAAATAATGAGAGCATGAGTGACTGTACGGAGGGCATCCCTGTCTAGGAAAGGGTGTAACTGGCGCACCAGGCGAACCTGTGCAAAAGCCCCCCCTTGTCACGGCCATCAGATGTTCCACCAAGGACAGCCGAGAATCAAGGAGGGCGCCAAGATTACGAACCATTTCAGAGGGAGCGAGAGACTCCCCTCCCATCTGAAGTGATGGGGCAGCTAGATCAGGAGATGCCGGCATCCACAGCCACTCAGTCTTGGAGGGGTTGAGTCTGAGCCTGTTTCTACCCATCCAGACCCGTACTGCCTCCAGGCACTGGGACATCACAGAAAGGGCATCCCCGGGTTGGTCTGGGATGGAGATGTAGAGCTGGGTATCATCACTGATGATACCCCACCCCAAAACTATGAATAATCTCACCCAGCGGCTTCATGTAGATGTTAAAGAGCAGAGGGGAGAGAACCGACTCCTGCGGCACCCCACAGGTGAGGGGCCTCGGGGAGGATCTCTGACCCCCCGCCCAAGCAAACTGCGTACGGCCTGAGAGATAGGAGGAGAACCACCGTAAAACAGTGCCTCCCACCCCCAACCCCTGGAACCGTTGCAGCAGGATACCATGGTCGATGGTATCAAAAGCCGCTGAGAGGTCAAGTAGCACCAGAATGGAGGAAAAAACTCCATCCCAGGCCCACCAGAGATCATTCACCAGGGCGACCAATGGCATTTCTATGCTGTGCCCACACCTGAAGCCCGATTGGTATGGGTCCAGATAATCAGTTTCCTCCAGGAATTGTGGAAGTTGGTATGCCACCACAGATTCAACAACCTTCGCTATAAAGCAAAGGTTTGAGACGGGACAAAAGTTGTTCAAGGAGGCCGGATCCAGAGCAGGCTTCTTGAGGAGGGGTCGAACCACCGCCTCCTTAAGTACGGCGGGGAAGACCCCATCCCTCAAAGAACCGTTGATAATTGCCTGGATCCAGTCTCCAGTCAATTCTCTGGTTGCCGTAACAAGCCAGGAGGGACAAGGGTCCAACAAACATGTGGAGGCCCACAGTCTACCCACAATTCTGTCCACTTCATCAATGGAAACAGGGTCAAAGTCAACCCAGATGTTGCCTTCAAGACTAGCTCCCACTTCCTCGTCGGATCCTCCCCAGTCAGTGTTTAATCCCGTCCAGATCTGAGCGACTTTGTCTTGCAGAAACTGTACAAAGTCCTCAGCACTGCCTTGTAAGGGGTCCTCCCTCGCTCCCTGATTGAGGAGGGAGCAGGTCACTCGGAACAAGGCCACCGGGCGATTTTCTGCAGAAGCAATGAGAGCAGCGAAATAATCCCGTTTCGCCGCTTCCATTGCCACATGATAAGACCTAATATGGGTTCTTAACTGTGCTCAATCGGATTTGGAATGGGACGATCTCCAACAGCCCTCCAGGCGTCTCTTCCAACGCTTCATCTCCTGTAGCTCCGTGGAAAACCGGATCATGGAGCTGTCCGGGATCCCTGTCGGCGGAGAGGCCGCAAAGGGGCGATTCGATCCAGTGTCCCGGTGGCAGCCCGTTCCCAGGCATCCACCAGGGCCTCTGGCAAATCGCCGGCTAGGTCAGTGGGAAATGTCCCAAGCTCCGTCAGGAACCTATCAGGGTCCATCAGGCGCCTGGGGCGGAACCAACAAGTTGGTTCCACCTCCCAGCGGTGGGGGTTGACAGACGGAAAGTCTAGTTTAAGGAGGGAATGGTCAGTCCATGAGAGGGGTTGGATGGAAAGTTCACCCCTACCCCCAGCATTTATCCACTACCCAGAGACAAAAATCAGGTTGAGTGTGTGCCCACCACTGTGAGTAGGGTCCTGCACAACTTGAGTCAGGTCCATGGCCGTCATGGAGGCCATGAACTCCCTAACCAGCTCAGATGTCTCACCAGTTGATGGGAGATTAAAATCTCCCACAACCATCAGGTTGGGGAACTCAACCGTCAGTTTGGCTAAGACTTCGAGCAGTGCGGGCAGGACTGAGGATACGTAGCTGGGAGACAGGTACGTAATCAACAGAGCCGACTGCACTCCATGATCCCATTTCAACAGAAGTGATTCACATCCGCCTATCTGAGGGACAGTGATCTCCCTAGGTCTAAGACCTTCCCTAATAACAACCGCCACTCCCCCACCCCTTGTGGCTGGTACAGTACACAGAAGCCTGATGGACACAAATCAGAGAGGGGGACCCCCCCTCCGGGCCTAACCAGGTCTCAGTGATACAAGCCAGGTCCGCACCCCCTTCGTCAATCAGATCTCGTACAAGGGGAGCCTTATTAACAACGTACCTGGCATTAACATACACCAGCCGGAGTCCTGGGTTCCACACTCCTAGCCCCCTAGGGACACAAGCAGAACCATGAGGGTCAGAGCGCTGAACCCGCTCTGAGATGAGTTTGCAGGGGGCCGATCTAGCGTCTGCAATGGATAGC